GAGTCCCAAAGTCTGTTCTGTACATCTGTGTCTCTTTTTCTGTTTTGCATATAGGGTTATCGTTACCATCTTTTTAAATTCCATATATATGCGTTAGTATACTATATTGGTCTTTATCTTTCTGGCTTACTTCACTCTGTATAATGGGCTCCAGTTTCATCCATCTCATTAGAACTGATTCAAATGAATACTTTTTAATGGCTGAGTAATATTCCATGGTGTATATGTACCACAGCTTCCTTACCCATTCGTCTGCTGATGGGTATCTAGGTTGCTTCCATGTCCTGGCTATTATAAACAGTGCTGCAATGAACACTGGGGTGCATGTGTCTCTTTCAGATCTGGTTTCCTCGGTGTGTATGCCCAGAAGTGGGATTGCTGGGTCATATGGCAGTTCTATTTCCAGTTTTTTAAGGAATCTCCACACTGTTCTCCATAGTGGCTGTACTAGTTTGCATTCCCACCAACAGTGTAAGAGGGTTCCCTTTTCTCCGCACCCTCTCCAGCATTTATTGCTTGTAGACTTTTGGATAGCAGCCATCCTGACTGGCGTGTAATGGTACCTTGTTGTGGTTTTGATTTGCATTTCTCTGATAATGAGTGATGTTGAGCATCTTTTCATGTGTTTGTTAGCCATCTGTATATCTTCTTTGGAGAAATGTCTGTTTAGTTCTTTGGCCCATTTTTTGATTGGGTCATTTATTTTTCTGGAATTGAGCTGCAGGAGTTGCTTGTATATTTTTAAGATTAATCCTTTGTCTGTTGCTTCATTTGCTATTATTTTCTCCCATTCTGAGGGCTGTCTTTTCACCTTGCTTATAGTTTCCTTTGTTGTGCAAAAGAGAAGTGTGGAGTTTTAACTACTGGACCACCAGGGAGGTCCCAGGCATGTTTATCCTAACCTCACACTAAGTCTGTCTCTCGACTGGACGGGTTGTAGACAGGAACCAGTCTCTGAACATTTAGGCATCATGCCCTTTCTTTGGGTCCAGCCTTGTGTTGGGATCACTGACATTTTGCCTCTCAGTCCTTTGTATGAAGTGTGTTTGTTCCTCTGTATTCTTTGACCTGCAACATGATGTGAAAATTCTTTAACTCCACAGCGTGAGTGAGCTACAGGCTGGGGTGGACATTCCCTCCTAACCTCCCCTCCTGGCGGCCACTGGGAGGCAGGGTGGCAGGAGTCAGTACCCCATCCTCCCAAGGCCTGGTGCTCCCTCCCTGCAACGTGGCTTACAGGGTTCATTGCTGTCACTTGCCTGTGGGTTTCCTGTTAGGCTGAGAAATCCAGAACAGAGATGATCCTTTATGGTTCTTCAGACTCCCAAGGAGGTCACTGCACATCACAGAGCAGGTGCAAGCTGCCTATAACACGGTAGCCCAAACATACACGGTCTGCAGTCAGCAGCCTGGCGCAGCTCACCCACAGCCTCCAGTGTCTCACTGGAAGCGGTCCAGGTGCTGGTCAAGGCGGGGGATCTCACCTGAGGCTCGACTGGGAAGGAACCTGCTTCCAGGCTTACCTGGTTGTTAGTAAGATTCAGTTCCTTGTGGGACTGAGGGGGCCAGAGGAGGACTGTGGGGTGAGGACCCAGGCAAGGGGTCCTTGGTCTATGTGACCAAGAATAGGATCCTGTCTGGGGAATGGATGGCTGGAGAGTAGGGAGGAGAGGAGGTGCTGGGCTGCTGGCCCTGCTTGTAGGTGGGCGAGCCGATCCGGCCACGCGTCCTGAGGAAGGATCCCCTGGTGGAGGGAACCCTAACGGGGGAGGGGATCAGCCTGTTGAAGAGATTCGCTACAAAAAGGCCACAAGTTGCTGAACAGGGGCTGGTGGTATTCAGTTCATTTTTCTGCCCGAAGAAGCAGTGACTCTCTTGTTGGGCCGCCCCGCTCCTGGGCGAGCGAGCATCCGTTTTTCTCTGAGCCGCACCTCCTCGAAGGGTTTGTCTTATTTCACCCTGCGAGCAGCCGCGTTTAAGCTCCAGTAAATGATTGGAACGTGGGCATGATAACTTGGCCTTCAATGGCATTTATTTTTCCTCCTGGCCAAATGCTGACATATAAAACTCAATTGCATTTTGAAGAAAGTCAAGTGACGTGTGTGTTTGCTCAGACCCCTTGCAAGGCCCTGGGAGGCGCCGCCCACTCTGGCCATTCTCCAGCTGGGTGGATGAAGTTCAGTGGGGCCGGGCTGCCTGGAAGCTGGCCTGAGAGGGATCGCTAGGGAGCCTGAGATCACGGGAATGGAGGCATCTGAATTTGGAAGATGTGGTGCTGTCTGCCCCTTAGGGGCCTGGGCTAAGACCCCGACAACCTGCTGCAGGAGACCCAGCCCCTCTCCACTGAGCCTCAAGCTTTCCTCTGTGAAATGGGCCATCACGCCCAGGGCGCATCCCCCAGGGTCAGAGCGCCCGCTGCCCTTGGTCCTGTTGCAGCTCGGACCACGTGCCACTTTGCTCCTCTCAGCACCAGGTCTGGGACCAGCTCATGTCACCTCCGAGGGCCTCTGCTTCTCAACCTGCCAAAGAGCAAAGCACTGCGCCTGGTGCGTTGGTGCAGCCCCGGCCTCGCATGGTGCTCAGTAGTGAGTGCACTCTGCTCCCTTCCCCTGGGTCAGGTTGACTGAGCATCTCCAGGGCCCAGGAGATGGTGCTGGTCCTCTGCCGGTCCTCTGCTGCAGGACGCACAGGTCTGGGGGCCCCACGGGCACCAGGCTGGCAGTGGTGGCGAGGATCCAGGCCCTCACACTGCAGATGGCCTCCCCCAGCCCCGGGTCCTGCTTCCCCATCTCAGCATCTCGACAGTCTGGGATTTCCACGCTTTCGTGGTCTTCTCCTAGAGCAGCTGCGTTGTTGTCTCTGGGCCCGCCTGTGCTGAGTTCTCATGTCTGTGCCCTCTGACTTGGGGTGCCTCTCGGAGGAGGGAGTGCAGACTCCCTACCGGCTCTTGGTTTGCCAGGGGGACATGGCTGGAAGTGATGCTGGGCCACCTCCAAGCAGGGTCTCTGGAGGCACTGGGTGTCTCCTCCCCCGGCTTGGTGCCTGTGCTCCACCAGCCCCTCCAGGTGGGCCCAGATGGGCCTGCCGACCACGTGTTCAGAGCCCAGCCAGCCGTGGCGCGTCAGGGAGGTCTCTGTCTGCAGGAGAAGCTGCCTAACTGACCCCGCAGGCAGACATGCTCTGCCAGGTGGGAGTCGTGTTGGCCAGGATCCCGTGCGGCCCTGGGCCTGGATGCACACACAGCCGCACAAGCAGTGCACTTGATGGATGAGCCCTGGAAGGAGAAGGGAGGCCGGGAAGAGAGCGTTCCTCTCTGAGGCCACACACATGGTGAGAGACGGATTCTGGTGGGATCTGGCGTCTCTTTCCACGGTGCTTCTTCAGCAGCGTGTGGAGGTTTTGAGGATAGAGGGGAAAGGGAAAGTGTCAGTTGTCCCCCACTGTTTGCCCACCAGGCTCCTCCGTCCATGGGATTCTCCAGGCAAGATCACTGGAGTGGGCAGCCGTTCCCTTCTCCAGGGCGTCTTCCCAGGAGACCGAGGCTGGGGCTCCTGCGCTGCAGGCGGAGTCTTTACCATCTGCGCCACCAGGGAAGCCCTTGTACCGAGGAAAGGGAAAGCATAACTGACCAGTGACGAAGAGCAGTACAACCGGGAGCGTTCGCCTCTATCCTGCCTGCCAGGAGCTCTGCTTGCTCTCAGCAGGGGGAGGGCCTTTTGGGGTTCAGGAGCTCCCTGATTCCCCAGGAGGTGTCTGAAGAGGCTGACTCCTCTGGTGGACTATTTCTGTTGGAGACTTGGGAGAGAAGAAATCTATTTTACATTGTTTTAAAAAGTAACTTTATCTAATATTTTATAATGCTGCGGTATGGTTCAAATTTTACTTAATGGTGGGTTTTTAGGCACTTTCACCAAAGGAAGAATGGATTTTCATGGAGAGGTGTGAACCCCACACTCTATTACCGCCACCCCTTTGGCAGCGTGAGGAGGTGGCACTTATGGGGATGATGAAGACACGGAAAGGGGGAGGGGGTGGAAACTGCCCCCAGGAAAAGCCGGGCTCCTTGCCTTAACTCACACTGTGCTCTGGGTCAAACCCCTCTGCTTCCCTCCAGGGACGTGAGCCCTCCTTCAGTCTCAGCTGAGGGGTCACTTCCAAACAGCAGTCTGCCGTGATTTCCTTAGGTTACCCTCTACCCCCATCTTATTCTTCTGCCTTTAAAGGGCAGAGGCCATGCTTCACACATCTTGGGAAGCAGTCAGTTCTCCAGGCAGACAGCCTGGTCCCAGACAGAGGCGGCTGGTGTGTGATTGGGCTCCTTTCATTCTCAGCTCTGTGACCTTGGCCATATTCCTTAACCTCTGTGCCTCAGACTCCTAGGTGTCAAGTGGGACCACCACAGACCCCACCACAGAGGTTATCACAGAGACAAAGGGGATTCTGTATTTAACGCTCTTGGTGCAGCACGTGTCACGAAACAAGCCGTGCTAAGTGATGGCTGGTGGGGTCTGCTGCTGCCAGCGTCGCTGTCGGTGCTGACGTTGAGGCTGCACCAGTGTCTCGGGTGTGTTTTGTCCGTGGGTCCTTGTGGAATGCTGCCCCGGTGAGTCGTGCTGGAGTCAGGACCGGTGCAGGACACATGGCTGCCCAGTCCAGTAGGCCCTCCCAGGGAGGACCTGGCCCTCGCCACGCCCCGTGTCAGCTATCAGCACCAATTATCCGTCTCTTTACGGGTGAGAAAACCGAACCAGAGCAGGTTCCACCGGCTCATCCCAGGTCCTGCAACGAGGGGGCGGGGGGTGTGGGGGGCCAGAGAGGCGCCCCCTCCCAGCCTGGTCCTCCATCCACTCACAGGCTCACAGCCGTAGACAGTGACTCCCTGTCTGCCCAGCTAGTATCCGAATGAAATGTATTTCATGGAGAATTGTGGCTGGATGACTCCGGCATCCTTTCCAGGGAAGCTGTCGGTTCTTGTTAGGCTCCAAGGGGTGACCACACACCTGGAGGATATCCCCTAAAAATGATAGTAACGTGGGCATTTCTGAAGGCGTCACGATGTTGAGAGAAGCAGAGGAGGGCCCTCCACGGCCAGGGTGATGCTGGTGACCGTGTTCATCACATTCCTTCTCACAGGCGAGCCGCTGGGGCCCAGTGCTCCTTGTGGCCTGGCCCCTGGCCCCTACCTCCCCGGACCCTCCCTCCTCTTTACTGGCTGCCCGCGGGGCACATAGAGACCTCAGGCCAGACGAAGACAGCAGCTTCTCCTCCTGGGGCCGGTGAGCAGAGGCATCAGCAAGCAGGCCGCTGTGGGTGCTGTGGTGAGCTGTGCCCCATCCACCGCTCACCACTCCTGGCCTTGCTGCCGGGCCACAGGGAGTCTGCTCAGTAGGTCACACCCTCCCTGGCCATCGAATGGCCAGTCCAGTTGCAATGCCCCTGTCTCAGCTCCCGGTGGGGTGGGCTCAGCCTCTCCCTCTGGCTGGTCCTGCTTGCTGTCCTCACCCTCATCCAGAGTGCATGCCGCAGCCGGCACACGAACCCGTCTCAGAAACTTTTGGGGAGCTGGTCTAAGGTTCTCATTCACAGGAAAACCACAGAGGCCCCAGGGGCCAGGGAGCCAGGAGTGGGTCAGGTAGGCAGGCTTAGACACCACAGCAGGCCCTTCGGGGTGGGCTGTGCTTGGTGGCCGAGAGTGGAGCTGGGGCAGGAGTGAGGCTCTGGGCCAGGAGACTGGGAGGCAGGCCCCCAGAGGGACCAGGCCTCGAGGCCGGGTGGGGTGGGCCAGGCGGGGCCTGGTGCACGGGTGCACAACCCAGCAATAAGGGGCCTCCACCGGCACCGAGGGCAGGTGTGTCCTACCAGCACAGGAAGCCTGCAGAGCTTCTCCCCAAACTCTCCGTGTCTCAGAGCTCACGACGGGGCATGTGGGGATCGGGGACCAGCCAGCTCCCCAGCAGTCCAGCGTTTGTGAGGAACTGGTGTGACCAGTGCCTGGGTGTGGGTGTGGTCAGGTAGGGGATCCCAGCTAAGAGTGAAACAATTACCAGTGATTTGAAGGTGGTGATGCAGGTTTTGGTAGCTCATTTATGCAACCTTTCTGAGAACCTGGTATGTGCCAGGAATTGTGCTAGGTCCTGGGGATGTAGGGGTGGTGCCGAGGTTTCTGATGATGGTTGTGGTTCTGTTGAAGTCAGTGATATGATGACAGTGCTCCTGGTGACGCCAAGATGATGGAGGTGATGGTGATGATAGTGGTGGTGGTGGTGGTGGTGGTGGTGGTGATAGTGATGGTGATGGTGATAACGATAGTGATGGTGTTGATGGTGATGACAGTGATGGTTGTGATGATGATGGTGAAAATGATAGAGATGGTGGTGGTGATGGTGGTGATGGTGATGGTAGTGGTGGTGATAATGATAGTGAGGGTGGTGGTGATGGTGATAATGGTAGTGATGGTGGTGATGGTGATGGCGACAATCATAGTGATGATGGTGATGACAGTGATCGATGCTGGTGATAATGATGGTGATGGTGGTGGTGATGGTGATGGTGGTAATGATAGTGATGGTGGTGATGGTGATGACAGTGAAGGTTGTGATGATGATGGTGATGGTGATGGTGATGGTGGTGGTGATGGTGATGGTGCTAATGATAGTGATGATGGTGATGGTGATGATGACAGTGAAGGTTGTGATGATGATGGTGATGGTGATGGTGATAATGATAATGATGGTGGTGATGGTGATGATGGTGATGACAGTGATGGTTGTGATGATGATGGTGATAAAGATGGTGACGGTGGTGGTGATGGTGATGGTGCTAATGATAGTGATGATGGTGATGGTGATGATGACAGTGATGGTTGTGATGATGATGGCGATAATGATGGTGATGGTAAGGGTGATAATGATGGTGATGGTGATAATGATAATGGTGGTGGTGATGGTGATAATGGTAGTGATGGTGGTGACGGTGATGGCGACAATCATAGTGATGATGGTGATGACAGTGATCGATGCTGGTGATAATGATGGTGATGGTAAGGGTGATAAAGATGGTGATGTTGGTGGTGATGGTGATAATGGCAGTGATGGTGATGATGGTGATGGCAGTGATGGTTGTGATGAGGATGGTGATAATGATGGTGATGATAAGGGTGACGGTCATCATGGGGATGATGGTGTGGTGGTGGTGGTGATGATGATAATCACACTGATGGTGGTGTTGGAGGTGGTTTGAATGGTGGCGACGGTCATCATGGGGATGATGGTGTAGTGGTGGTGGTGATGATGATAGTCACAGTGATGGTGGTGTTGGAGGTGGTTTGAATGGTGGCGACGGTCATCATGGGGATGATGGTGTAGTGGTGGTGGTGATGATGATAGTCACAGTGATGGTGGTGGTGGAGGTGGTTTGAATGGTGGCGACGGTCATCATGGGGATGATGGTGTAGTGGTGGTGGTGATGATGATAGTCACAGTGATGGTGGTGGTGGAGGTGGTTTGAATGGTGGTGACGGTCATCATGGGGATGATGGTGTAGTGGTGGTGGTGATGATGATAGTCACAGTGATGGTGGTGTTGGAGGTGGTTTGAATGGTGGTGACGGTCATCATGGGGATGATGGTGTAGTGGTGGTGGTGATGATGATAATCATAGTGATGGTGGTGGTGGAGGTGGTTTGAATGGTGGCGACGGTCATCATGGGGATGATGGTGTAGTGGTGGTGGTGATGATGATAATCATAGTGATGGTGGTGGTGGAGGTGGTTTGAATGGTGGCGACAGTCATCATGGGGATGATGGTGTAGTGGTGGTGGTGATGATGATAATCATAGTGATGGTGGTGTTGGAGGTGGTTTGAATGGTGGTGATGGTGGCAGTGGTAGTGGTAGTATTGTTGGTGATGATAGGCGTGGTGATGACAGTACTGATGGTGGTGACAGGGCTGGAAGAGGAGACTGTGTTGATGACACCCACATGTGTGTGATATTCAGCACCCCTGAGCTCTGTCAGCTCCTGGCTCTTTCCCTCTGGCCCTTCCCTAGCGGGAGTTTTCATTTCCTGAGCAGGCTCTGACTGCGCCAGCAGCAAAAGGATGCTCTGGGAGCAGGAGGATGGGAATCCTTATCTATTAATTGGTTTTCAGCCTCTCCCTCCCCCTGCGCTGCAGACCCTCCCCAGTCTCTGTCCTTATCTCAGGGCCTCTCTGTGGTCTGCTAAGTTTAGCTTAATCGGCCATTAGCCCAGGCAAAAGGTGGGGCCCTTGGCCGTCATCCACGGGGGAGCTTCTTGACGTCTATCAGCCCGAGGAGGCTGTGGAGGGTGGAGCAGGGGTTCCAGGGCCCCCCGCAATTCAGAGCAGAGCTGGACCCAAAGGAGCAGGTCAACCAGACACACAGAAGCTGTGTTGAAGGGCTGCTCTCTGCGATGACCCGGGTCGGGGCACAGGCCGGAGGAGCAGAGGACTCACGTGGGGCCATGTCTGGGGAGGCCCAGGCAGCTTGGGGAGACCACCAGTGGTGTCTGGAGGGCTGGCTCCCAGACTCAGGGCTGGGTCTGTGCCGGGGGTTTAGGGACCTGCTGAGGCCTGGGGCTAAGGGCCAGGGAGACAGTAGAGAGGACTCCCGAACGACCAGTCTCACTGCTCCCTCTCTCGTTCCAGTCTCATTTCACTTTGGACTGCGTGTCCTTCCCGTGCAAGCAGGTGTGGCCATGTGGTCAGCCCATGACTGGGAGAGGCCCTTCTTTTCTGGAGGACCACCTGGGGAGCGTGGACACTGAGTGTATGTGGCTGGTCTGGCCTCGCCGGGGAGTAAGTCACCCTCCGGATGCCCCTGCCACGGCCCCTCTTAGCACGAGAACAGCCACCTCCCAGCCCGGCTGGCAGAGGCCCTGCTGCTCACACGCACTGGGTCCGCTGCGGTTTAGAGCCAAGGCCCTGGTTTTTAACAGCGTGAGCATCTCCCCAGGGAAAGCCTGGTAACTGGGCAAGGGAGCTGGATCTGTGCTGGTGAAGTTTCCGGGCAGTGACTGGTTGAGACAATTCTTGGACTGTGGGGGCAGTGTGGGTCCTGCCTGGGCACAGGCCCAGAGCACGTCCCCAGGCTGCGTTCCTCAGGGGAGGAGCGTCCAGGCAGAGGGGGGCTCCCAGCGCCGTGGTCCCCCCATCCCTGTCTGCAGACCCATGGCCCCATCCTGGTGCCAACCACACAGGATGCGCCCCAGAATAGCCTGGAGCTGAGAACCGAGAGGCTGAGGTTCACCCCCAGCTTCCTTGCTGTGACCTGAGTCCACACCCTTACACACCTGCAGACACGTGTGGAGCTGCAATCACATGCTGGCGTGTGCCAAGCCTGGCAGACCGTGGTGGGAACCAGGTGTGGCTCCTGCCCTGGGAGAGCTGGCTGTCCAGAGGGCAGAGGGAAGCAGGCAAGACAGCAAACAGATGGTCAGATCACAGACTCTGGGCCTGCTGTGAGGAAGTGTCCTCCCAGGGACAGGGCCCCTATGGCAGATGGGGTGGTGAGAACTCGGGGCCCTGGACTATGTGGTGGGAAGAAGAGGGACAGCCCGACAGAGCGGCCGGGAAGGTCAGACGAGAGCCTGTGTATCAGCCTCTGTGCGGGCTCCCGTCCCAGAACACGGAGGACTGGGGTTTACAGATGCCAGAAGGCTGTTCTCGAACACTGGAGGCTGGATGTCTGAGCTCAAGGTGCCCTGTGCCTTCCAGAGGGAGGGAGCAATGAGTGGAGGGGACCCCAGGGGCCCAGCCTGGCTGGTGCGGGGCTGTGGCCAGTATAGGTGGGCCTTTCGGGCCATAGATGCTTCTGAGCACGAGGGCATCCTTCCCAGGGGCTTTGCTTTGAATATTGACAGTAATGAATCTCAGACAACCTGAAAAGATTTCCTCACAAAGCCTCCTGTCCCTGCCACCCCAAGTGAAAAAAAAAATCCCTTCCTGGAGGCAACCAATTGACATAAATTGGAGAGTAATTAGTCCATGTTTTATACCTTTTCTGCATATGCATACCATAAACAATATGTCCCATTGTTTTGTGTGTTTAAACATTTACATAATGGGATTATGGTGTAAGTAATGTTCTGGAATTTCTCTCTTTACTCAACATTTTGTTTTTAAGGTCCATCCATTTCAATAATACAGGTATACTTTGTATATTTTGAAGTGCTACTGTATACTCTGTCATTCAAAAGTATTCCGGTGTGTATCCACTTCCAAACTGAGGGGGTTTGGCTTGTTTCTGATATTTTCTATTACAGATGGTGTCACAATGAAAATGTTGTCATTTGTCAGGCTTTTATGTGTCACGTACTGGCCTAGTAATTTTAGTTATGTCTATCTTGGAATCTGCACAGTGATGTCTGGAGGGCATGAGCGCATTTTGCAGGGAAGGAAACTGAGGTTCACAGCGGTGCCCAACTTGTCTGGGGCTGAGCGGTCAGGAGACGTCCCAGGAACCCGTCGGGGTCGGGCCCTCTGCTGGGCGGGCTCCCCTCCATTTCCGCAGGACTCGCTTGTTCTCCATTCCACTAGATGCCACCAGTGGTTGTATTTCAAATAGACGTGAAATGCTAAGCTAATGAATATGGACCTAACCATCACGTATTAGTGACTATGCCATAGTATATATTCATGGTTTAGATCTTCCCTTTGGTGAATTGCCTGTTTGTAGGCTTTGTCTGTTTTTCCCTTGGGTGTTTGTCTTTTTGTTGACTTGTAGATGTTCTTTATGTATCTGGATAGTGATCTGTTTTCTGCTGTGTTGTGAAGTCTTTTTCCCAGACAGTCCCTTCTCTTTATGTTATGGTCCTTTTTCATACAGAAGTTTAAAATTTTGATATATTCAAGTTGATCATTTTCCTCTCTAGGTCTCCATTTTGTCTTTTTTTAGAAATTCTTCTTTACCCTGAGATCACAGAATATTTTTCTGTACTTTAATTGTTTTAAAGTTTCGTTTATCACATTTAGATCTTCAGTTCTGGATTCTTACTGTCTTCAATATGTCTAGTCAACTATCAAGTACTATTTATAGTTCAGTGTGAAATTGAACATAAGATGGGCTTTCTCGTCTCGTTCTTCACTGTAATGGGGATGCTTCTAAATGAAGGATGACACTTCTTATAGGTTAAAGCAGGAGTCTGGGCACCATCATAGCCACCACCAGCATCATTCAGCTTTCATGAAGCCATGAGGGGTCCACGTGGCCTGGACTCCTGGGATTCTGGTGAGGGGGTTAGGACATTGCAGGTCTTCCTGCACGAGACCCACCCAGGAGAGACAGTAGCCAGGCTGAGGGTGTTTGTCCAGAAAGGATAGGTGAGGGGGTCTGGAAGGTGAAGCTGATCCCCGGGGACCACGGGAGTGGGTGCAGCAGAGAGTGAAGGCCGTCATCTGGGTTGGGAGAGCGAGGAGTGGGGAAGATGCACAGCATCAGTCCACAGTGAAAGCGAGTGCAGGTGGGCGGTGATCGGTGGGGGCAGGGGCTCAGTCTGATCCTGCCTCTGTCGCTTACGGATGGTGCAGTGATGCTCAAGTTACTTAACCTGCTTAGGCCTCAGTTTTCTCACCTGTGCAGTGGGGTCACAGAAATGCCTTCACAGCATCCCTGGGGCTGAATTGAGTCCTGTGGGCAGAGTGCCTGGTGCACAGTGAGTGTGTGGGAGGTGGGGATGTTGTCCTGGTGCCCACAGCTCTGCTGGGGAGGCAGATGTCCTGGCGGGGGCGGCCAGAACATCCTCCTTCCGGCCACGCCCAGGTCAGGGCACTCAGTCCCGGCCACCGGTCCTGGAGGGACAGAGTGCTTGGGAGAGGAGCTGGGAATATACCACACAGTGACTGCAGGGGCTGAGGATGCGCTCCTGTTTCCACGTCCTGGGGAACTGTCATTGGGGTGCGGGCATCAGGGCCAGGCTGCCAGGCCTAGACTCTGAGTCACTCACTGATCCATCCTTTCCAGAACAATTCCCACCAGCGGCGAGGACAGAGAGGACCGGTCACTGATGCTGGAGGGAACCAGGACGCCCAGCTAAAACTGAACTGAGTAATGGATAACAATCTTCTAGTAAAATCATCCTTCACATAGTGCGGGATATATCTAACTAAAAAAACACTATTTATCTGGAATTCAATGTAACTGGCTGTCTTGTATTTTTATTTACCAGATATGCTGACCCCATTATGGGGTGTGTGGACAGGGTCTGGGCAAGGCCTCAGATCTGACCACAAGGCCTGAGGCTGGAAATAGGGCCCCAGGTGGGGAAACCAAGGCAGAACCCAGCTAGGGATGGAGGAGGGTAAGGGTGAGCAGGAACTACCAAGCAGGGGTGTTTTGTGGGAGACCCAGGACAGAAGGCTGGGCCTGTACTCCTCCCACCACTTACCTCAGGCTTGGAAGGTCACTGCTCTCTGAGCTTCCAACGGCTCAGCTATGAAATAGGGCTCACAGGACCAGCCCCCAAGCTCAGGGTTACATGCTGCTGCTATCTTGGAGGTTACAGTTTAAAGTGGACCCCAGAAAGGGAACAACAGTCTGAAGCAGGAGGCAGAATGGTAGCTGCAATGGTCCAGATGTAATAGGAAGGGGCTCAGAAGGAGTAGTCAGTCCTGGCAGGCAGGCGAGGGGGGCTTCCTGGAGGAGGTGGTGCTGGGACTGGGCCCAGCAGGCTGAGCCAGAGTCCATAGGGCAGAGGAACCCTCGTGAGCTGAGCTGGGAGGCGCAGAGTCACCGGCTCGGCCAGGAGCACAGCCGTCACCCCCACTCCCACAGCAGCCTTGGCAGGTGACTTGCGGGTGATGGCTTTGGCCTGAGGATGGGGGGCTCAGCCTGACACACAGTCGCAGTCTCACTGTGGCAGCCTCTGTCCCGGGCCCTTAAAGGGGCTTCACCAGCATCGAGCGCTCATTCCAGGGCAGACCCTGGGAGTCTGGCTTACGGCTTGGCTCATCTGAAATGGGCTTGTGATGGTCTGAGGCCCTGGCAGGAAAGCAGGCATGTGGGCCCTCCTGAGCGCCAAGTGCAAATGCCTCCTGCAGGAGGAACAGCTGTCTGTCATTAGCACCAGGACCCCCCTCCCCCACCCTGCACAGCTAGATGCATCTGTGGTCCAGCGCCCAGGCATGCGGGCTGCTAGGGGCTGCCTGCTGGCTCAGAGATGGGAGCCCCGCATGCCAGGGAATGCCGGGCGGCCCCGCTGTGGCCTCCGAGGGACCTGCCTCTGTAATCTCGTCCCCCTGCTTCTGACTCTCCCCCGCTCAGGCTCCTGCCTCCCCTGGGGCGCCGGACCTTCTTCAGGACATGTCAGGAAGGGAAGTGTGCTTTTCAGGAGGTAAGTGCGGGAGACCTCCGTGGCAAGACCCCTCCTGAGGTCACTGCCCACCTTGAGTATCCTGCTCTCCTTGGTGGGTTCCCTCACGACACCGCTGTGATGCAAGTTTTGCAGAATGAGCATGGCGAGCTCTAGCATGCAAACATGTGAGGGAGTCTCGACAAGCAGAGGTAGGACTCCCCGCAGGGAGTCCAAGGTTTGGAATTGTGTCAGTTTGGCAAAGGTGCCTGCTGCCGGGTACGGGAGACAGAAACCCGCTCTCCCGAAGGCCCGCCGCTCACCGCTCAGCTCTGCCCTGAGGGCCCCCTTTCTGAACAGCCCCCTGGGGCAGGTTGCAGCCCCGTGGCAGCTGTGGGACAAACGGGGGTTCCCTCACACTGCCCCACTCACTAGGCAATGGGGAAAATGGTTAGGCCCTAGTAACTGGGTCCCAAAGCTTCCGCTGGGCTTCCCAGGTGGCGCTAGTGGTAAAGAATCTGCCTGCCAGTGCAGGAAACATAAGAGACTCAGGTTTGATCCCTGGTTGGGGAAGATCTCCTAGAGGGCGGCATGGAAACCCACTCCAGTATTCTTGCCTGGAGAATCCCACGGACAGAGGAGCCTGGCAGGCATGCAAATAGTCCATGGCATCGCAAAGACTCAGACACAGCTGAGTGACTGAGGACCCACAATAACTTTCCCTCCAGCCAGTGAGCAAGTTCCTGTAGGAATGAAGGCAGGCACCGTGGAGACCCGCATGGCCGGGGCTGTGCTGTTGATGGAGGAGGACTTTTCCACCCAGGGAGCCCCGTCCTCTCCTCCGCTAGCTGGGGGAGCCATGGGGCGAGGCCCCCGATATGCGCAGTCTTCCTGCCAGTCTCAGGCCCCACCCCGCCGGCTCCCCTGGGGCAGGCTCTCTGCTCGAGGGGCCTCTGACCCTCTGCACCGCTGGGTGCTCTGTCTGCTTCACAAGGATCTCAGGACGCGTTCTGCTGGCCCATCCGGTGGACGAGGAAACTGAGACTCACTCAGACTGTGCGTGGCCCCCTGCCTGGAGTCCAGGGCGCTGTCCCTCCTGAGCCAGTGGCCTGCTCTGGGGCTGGGACGCTTGGGCAGGGGGTGCCAAGCCCTTAGACCACACGACACACGAGCGGCGCTGTCACCACGGGCTCCTCAGGGCCCCCAGGGTGGCGGGCATGGGTGCTGCTGTGCTCGGGGCCACCAGACTCCTCACCCCACCGGGGACACGCTGACTGCTGCCCTGTTTGTCTGTGGCTCTGGGTCCTTGGAACAAATGATTTCAGGCTGAAGCTCATTCCAGCATTGCAGGTGGGGGTCTCCTGGGACCTCAGGTGGGGTCCCAGAAGGCGGGGTGGGAGTGAGCACACATGGAACCCTGGTGGGGCCTGAGATCATCAGTCACAGGGGTGGAGAGCGCCCTCCCACCCTGGGACCAACTGGTCTGGGGTTGGATGAGGACTGGGGGCCCCAACACCAATGCCCCGAGCATGAGAGAGAGGGAAGGGGGCCTCTCCCAGGCCTGTGTCCTGATGCCCAGGTCCCCGCCCGGCTCACTGAGGACTGGAGCGAGAGGGTGAGGCTATGGGGTCTGCCCTCCCCTGACCCCGAGATTACATGATTTCTGGGGCTCACAGATGTTGCAAGCCTAGGTTTTTAACAGGCTCAGATGCTAGGCTCCTGAGACAGCGCCAGAGATTAGATTTACTTATTTTACCCCAAATTTAATCAGAGTAAAATTTGAGGTGACTTCTAAGAGTCTAAGCTTCTGAAAGGAGGCATCCTTCAAATGCTAACACCCTAAGCTGCTTTAGGGGGAAGATGTGATGATGCCATGCTTCTGAAAGCCTGTGCTGCTCAGAGTCCCATGTTCCCTAATTCTGTGTCTTCGGTGGGGCTCCGCGTGGCCGAGCTGGTGCCCGTGAATGGTGACAATGCCCGGGCTGATGGGCTATGCTGGCTAATCTTCCCTTTGAGGGGCTTTGATGAGCTCCCGGCACAGCTGCTTCAATCAGAGGGGAATTTTGCTGAGCGCTGGGGATTTGGAGCCTCAGGGGAGAAGCTAATAGCAGCTGCTTTCTGGGAAGCGATTGGAATCTGGAGGAGAGAGAGGCATTAATAAAGCGAGGTGTAAAAGCCCAGGGAGTCATCCCAGCCCCAGAGAAATGGGCGAGGGATAGGGCTTGGCTCTGTTCTCCCCTCTGCACCTGTGCATGAACCCCCACCTCCAAACACAGAGACCTGACCTTCCCCCCACCCCAGACATCTCCCCTGAGATGCCCTACTTGGTCCTCCAGACTGGCAAGGTGGCCCCTTGGGTGAGCGCTTGGCAGAAGGGCAGCTAGGGGAGCAGCCTCACCCCACGGCAGCCCTCCCCACGCAGCCTGTCCTGGGAGCCCTCTGCGTGATCCCAGACCTGGGCGGCCCCTGCCAGAGGGGTGGGGGAGAGAGGAGGACAGTTCTGGCCACTTCCCAGGTGTGGATGAGATGGTTCTCCAGGCTCGGACTCGAATGGGAAGCATCAGAGCGGGGTGCCTGAACCTCTGTGCTCTCATTCATTCATTCACACATTCATTCATTCAATCACGTACTCAATTCAGCACCAACTCTGGGCCCGGGACCATGCCAGGGTAAAGGCTCCATTGCGAGCATTATTCACAGTAACCAAGACTTGGAAACAACCTAAGTTGTGTGGATGAATGGGTGAAGAAGTTGTGGTCTATGTATACCATGGAATATTATTCAGTCATGAAAAGGAGGAAATCCTGCCATTTGTGACAAGCTGGGTGGACCTTGGTGGCATTATGCTAAGTCAGATAAGTCAGACAAAGAAAGACAAATACTGTCTATGATTTCACCCTGACTTATATGTGGAATCTGAATAAAATACAAACCAAACCCATAGAAAAAGAGGTGAGATTTGCAGTTAGCAGAGGGTGTGTTGGGAGGGGAACTGGATGAAGGAGGTCAAAAGGTACAGACTAGGAGTTATAAGATAAATAAGCTCTGGGGATGGACAATGGTGACTACGGTTAACACTGCTTTAGAAAATAAAGGAAAGCTGCTGACAGTAGATCATAAGAGTTTTCATCACACAAAAAGAAGCACATTTTTCTTTTTCTTTATACCTATATGAGATGATGATGTTAATTAAATCTATTCACAACAGATTGTAAATCAAACCATCATGCTGTACATCTTGAATTCACAAGATGCTGTATGTCAATTATATCTCAATAAAACTGGGGGGAAAAGACTCCAGTGCTAGACTCAAGGTACCCAGAACATGTCAGGGTGTGCTGGGTGGGGGTGTAGGTGGAGAGGAGCGGCTATTCCCCTGCTGCCCACAGGACCCACGCTCCAAAGCAGCTGGAGAGGGCTGGAGGGGAGGGGCTGGGAGGGGAGGGGAGGAGTTGGGAGGGGAGGGGAGGAGATGGGAGGGGAGGAGTTGGGAGGGGAGGAGTTGGGAAGGGAGGGGAGGGGAGGGACTGGAAGGGGAGGGGAGGAGCTGGGAGGGGAGGGGAGGAGATGGGAAGGGAGGAATTGGGAGGGGAGGGGCTGGAAGGGGAAATGAGGAGCTGGGAGGGGAGGGGAGGGGAGGAGCTGGGAGGGGCAGGGAGGAGTTCTGGGGAGGATTTTTTGTGCCTAGGATGGCAAGTAGAGAGGGAAGCAGTCATTGGACTCCCTGAGCTTGTCCTCCTGGCCAGATCTCCCCACCTCTTTGGTCTCTCCTCCCCTAGGTGGAGCCTCTTGACCTTAGCCTGAGCCTGGTCCTGGGCTGAGGCAGGAGGGCTTTAAGGACAGCAGAGCGTCCTGTGAACTCCCAGGAGCGAGGACTGCGTGTCCTGGGCTGTAGGCCTCCAGGCTCACTCCAGGCCGGATGGTGCCTGGTGGTCCCCTCCTGCCAGGGGCCTGAGTGTCACAGCTGGTGACTGGGCACTGGCCTTGCTCCCTGAGGTGCAGCCTCCCTTCTGTCTATGTGGCCCTGGCCTTGTGACTCTGGGGATTTCCCATCGCCTGGTGGCACGTAGGATGTGAGAATGTCCACTACTGCAGGCTCGGCATCCTCAGTCCTACTGACTGGCTGCCTGGAGCCTGACCCCTTGCCCAGCACCCGCTGGCCTGGACCCAGCCTGCTGCGGGAGCCATGTCCCTTGGGTACACTGGCCCCTCTTCTGTGATGAATGTCCCCGGGGACCCCAGGTTCGGTGGGATCACTTCCCAGGGTTGGACGGATCGGCAGATGGGCCCCTCGTGTCTTGAAAGTAGGAGGATGCTGTTTCATCACCACCACGCTGTTTGCAGCCCCGCTTCCAGCCAGAGAAAGCAAGGAGCTCCCTCTGCTCCTTCTCTGCAGCCCCTCTGTCCTGAAGTCAAGGGAGAAAGACCAAGGTGCATGCAGGAAGCCTGCTGGGACCGTGGGGTTCCCAGAGGCCCCCGGGCGTGCACCCACCTGGTTCCTAGACCCTAGCCCGGGGAGGCCATCTGGGCAGACCGCTGACACCATGGAAGAAGTTGGCTGTCTGCCGCCAGCCACCTCACTCCGACCTCAGTCGGGGACAGGAGCTCAGCCTGTCCTTCCCACGGCCGACAGCTTCGACCAGAGGCTGGTCTGGGGTGTGTGACCCTGATCACTGTTGGCCCCGCGCTGCCTGCTAGGGAGACAGGTAGGAATCAGGTGGAAGCATCGGCGGGGTCGCGGCGCCATCCTGAGGGCAGCACCCCCACCCCACGCCCGGAGCTGTGGCTCTGCCCTTGCTAGGGCATGCGTGTCAGGAAGCCAAGGCCAGTCCTCTGAGCTCCACCCTGGGAAGGGCAGAGTGGAGCTTGATCTGAGGGCCTCGGTGGAGAGGGCAGGGGTCCTGGTGCCGGCGGAGAAGGCTGGGGCAGGGGCCCTGGCTTGGGTTTGCCAGGCGTGAGCCGGAGGAGGACTAAGCCTTGGTCCTCGGGTCTACCTTATGTCCAGGGCAGGATGAAGGAGAACTTGGTTCTGCTGCCCGTCCTTGAACAAAGGAGGCTGAGGGGCCATCGCTCCCCCTCACGGCCGAGCCTGCCCTCTGGGGCCGAGCCCGCCGACAGCTGAGGCCGAGAAGAGGCTGCTGGAGGCATCCCCGTGGCATTGGGCTCTCGTCCCTGACCCGCGTGCCTGCTGACATGGCAGAGCTGGTGTTTCCAACTAAATGGGGCCTGTTGGCTGCTCCCTGGGCTGTGACTTGCACAGACTCCCCACCGCTTCCCTGGACGCGTGTGCTTAGGCTGCAGAACCCTGTGTTTCAGAGGCTGCCCCCCGCCCCCTGCCCCCTGCTTCCAGCCTAATTCTCCCCGCGGACCCCCAGCGAGCAGGGAAGGTGTCCAGTCACTGGGTCTCCCTGGACAGGCCAAGATGCCGAGGACTCCTGTGGCGACCGGGAGTCACCCTGCCCCGCGGGCCTCACTGGTGCTTTATGGCTGAGCCTGTGAGTCTGGCCCGGAAGGTGTGCTCTGAAGGAGCAGCCTCGCTCTGCAGCCTGGCTGATTTATGTCCCCCGCAGCCGGGCCGCCTTGCTCCGCAGTCAGGGTGCTCAGAGTGAGGGCTTCCAGGGTGGAGGCGGAGGGAGACTCAGAGCAGAGGGCCCCCCCACCGGCTGGCGCACTGCCTCCTGCACCGCCCCCCACACCGCCACACACTGTGACTGCAGACACGGGAGGCGCAGGTAATTCCATGTTCAGAGCCCAGAACAAAGGTCATCAGGTGTCCTTGCTTTTAGAACTTATTTAGTGTCAGTGTCCTTGGGGACTTCCCAGGTGACGCTAGTGTTAAAGAACCTGCCTGCCAGTGCAGGAGACATAAGAGACATGGGTTCAATCCCGAGTTGAGAAGATCCCCTGGAGGAGGGCATGGCAACCCACTCCAGTATTCTCTCCTGGAGAGCCCCATAGACAGAGGAGCCTGGCGGGCTGCAGTCCATAAGGTCACAAAGAGTTGGACATGGCAGAGGCAACTCAGCATGCACGCACACACGTCCCAGGTGGTGAAAGGTGATGACTGTTTCGGGAAGCGTGGGGCAGCCGGCTTCTCTGGTGCTCTGTGACCACCAGTGGTTACCGAGCCTGATCCGGTGTCAGTGTCAGTGCTGTGATGTTGGCAGCTGGTTGACAGTGCTCCTGTTTCACAGGAGAGGGTACTGATGGTCGGGAAGCCCCCGGCCTCCTCCAGGTCCTGTGTCTGAGATGCTGTAAAGCCAGGCCCCAGATGAGGTCGGTCCCGAGCCAGGAAAAACCTGGGTAACACCTGTGCACAGCCTCTGCAGGACGGTGGTTCCTATTTCACCACCCTCTGCAGACAGACCCATGCCCATTCACTCACTTGGCCAGGTGATCAGCCGTTTATTTACCAAAGGTTTCCTGATCCTGACTGTGCCTCAGGCACTGTGGGGGTAAACAGGTGGGGGTGGACTTCCCTGTCTCCATGTCCTCGGGTGGAGGGGGGAGCGTGCCGGCTGTGACCCCTGGTGGCAAACTTCCTCCAGCGGGCCTAGTATGAGTCTGGGTGACAGACTGGGACAGGCTCCTCAGAGGACCAGTGTTTTAATGGGCTCCTGCGGAATGTGTGGGAATCCGAGAGCATCACAGGAAGGGAAGGGCTTTCCTGACAGAGGAATGGCGTGTGCAAAGACCTGGGCTGGGGAGCGCAGAGCACACAGCACTCACAGGTCTGGAGATTGGAGGGTGAGGCGGGCATGGACCCATGGACCTATCGCACGGACCTGGCGTGGACAGGGTCTCGGTAGGTCTGGGATCCGAGGGCCAGAGCTAGGGAGAGAAAGGGCAGCTGGAGAGCCCTGTCCTGCTGGTTTTCTGAGCGGGTTCCTGGGCAGTCTTGCCCTGGTGCGTCCACCCAGGCACTGGCCCTGACGCTAAGCACAGCTGTCATCGTCTGACACCTGTCACGGTCACACGCATGGCCACACCTGCGGCCCTGTTCTGTCCCCGCCGTCAGCGGCGCGGTCGCGGGGGCGGCCGCTGTCACCACATCACCTGGTCGCCCGGCCCCTGGGTCCCAGGTGGACACACGAAATGCTAGGCTGGAGGCGGAGTCTCCCTGGACCGCGTCAGCTGTGAGGTCACAGGATGACCGGAAGTCCTCACCTGCCCGGGGGGCCTGCAGAGGACCCCTCTGCCCTCTCCCCTCAGGCGATGCCCCTCAGGAGGCTGTTAGGGAGCGGGAGACCCCTGACTCTGCCGTCTCGTCTGCACTCCTGCAAACCCCCAAGGGGGCCTCTAAAGGGGGCCCAGCTGCAGCTCCAGTTAGCACTGAAGATGGACAGAGCATATGTTGCATTATTTCTGTTTGTCAATAAAATCAACATTAAAAATTTTTAACAAAGCACCAGGCACCACTGAGAGCAATTAGTGTCGCATCGCGGACCAAATGGTGACTTTGCAGAGGCGGGCCGCGCGCTGCAGGCCTGACAGGTCCTCTGTCGCGGGGGGCCGTGCAGGAGGGCTCTGCTGCTGGTGACCTCGGGGCCAGCCCCTGTCGGCCTTTGGATCTTCGCCCCACCCCCAGAGCAGCGTTTTGTAGCCACGAGCAAGGAGGCTTGGAATGCGAGCCAGACTCAGGGCTCAGCCCTGCCCAGTTTGGTTTGTTTCGGGGGTCCAGGCTCGGTCTGTGACCAGGCCAACGCTCAGTGTGTGAGGGATCAGGGCTCCATGGGACCCCAAGGTCAGGGCTCGGTGTGACCGGGGATCAGTCAGGATCAGAACCAGGCTCAGTGTGCACCTTCCTTAGCTTCATAAGTCCTCTGATTTTGTTCCACTCACACTGGCCTCCTTTGTGATCCTGAGTTCACCAAGCTTTCCTGATGGAGGGGCTATTTGTGTTCTCACTGCCTGAAGAAAAAGAATTATTGCCCCAAATTAATGGATCTTACTCCTCTTTAGTTCTCAGCTCAAATGTCAGGTGCTCAGAGAGATGCATCCACTTTGTCTCCCTCCAGGACACGCATTACGATCTGATCACAGAAAGTCCTTCCACGTGCATGCGCAAACGGCAGAGGAGGGGGGTCCCGACACTGGGGCCTGGGGCTGGCAGGAATGGGCTGCACAAAGGGGCCCTGGTCTGCTTTTCTGTCTCCCCTCTCTCCCCCTCGTCCTCTGACAGGCTGGGAAGGAAGTGGGGTAAGAAATGATGTTCCAGGAGAAGCTTGGGGGTTGCCAAACGTGGTGCAGCTTGGCTACTTCAGCAATCCTTTGTTGTTTGTAAAAGCTGGGGGGAAAAAAAACTTGTGAAGCATTGTTTTCAAAAATAATACAAGTGTGAAATACCTCCAGCATGTAGAAAACTTCAAACTGTAACATGATCGACATTTACACGAGCTCCACCCGAGACAGGTGCTCACAGCTCAAGGTATTTGCTCTAATCTTCTCCCAGACACGACTAGGGAAAGACCACCTTATAGGAAGAGGAGCTGCCCCCTCGCCTCCGAGGCAACTGCCACCCCGAGGTCAGAGTGTGCTCATTAACAAAACTTGGTAATGTTTTATGCATTTAAAAGTCACTTACAAAAAAAAAAAACAGTCATTTACAGGTCTCCTTCTGCATGTATCCTTTCATTACTTTTTTTTTCTTTTCACTCAACATTATGTCTTGGAGATTTATCCATGATGATGTCTGTAGATCTAACCCACTCATTTTAACTCTTGTTTAATTGTCATTGCATGAATAACCAATGTGTCCCAATTCCCCAATTGGAGACCAGTTTTTGGTGGACAGTTTACTATTGATGGCCTTCCCTTGTGCCTCAGCTGGCAAAGAATCCGCCTGCAATGCAGGAAACTGGGTTCAATCCCTGGGTTGGGAAGATCCCCTGAAGAAAGGAAAGCCTACCCACTCCAGTATTCTGTCCTGGAGAATTCTATGGACTCTCCATGGAGAAGTCCGTGGGGTCGCAAAGAGTTGGACAGGACTGAGCAACTTTCACTTTCACTTTGCTATGATGGATACCCCTCTCCGAACAAGCTTTGTGAACAAGTGCAGGGATGGCTCAAGGAGCTGCCCGGGAGTGGAATCGCTGCGTCATTTAGGAGCAGAGCGATTTCAGCTTCAGTAGAAAATGTCCAATTGCTTTCCAGAGTGGTTCAAGCAGTTCACCTGCCCACTGGCAATGTGCAAAGGTTCCTGTTTCTATACATTCTTGCCACCGTTTGGTGTTATCAGATTCGCCAGTGTTTGCCGACTGGGGGGTGTGGGGGGGTGTCTCCATGTCTTTGCATTTCCCTGATGGCTGGTGTGGATGAGCTTGTCCTCAAGTCTTTACGGATTGCTGGGCTCCCTCGCCTGTGAATTGCCTGTTTCTGTGCTTTGTCCATTTTTCTGTCGGGTCATTTAGCTTCTTCTGATGTGTGCATTGATTGCACTGACCCCATTAAAATGCAATTAAAACAGTCTCTTGTGCTTTTAAAAAATGTTTTGCAGTTTTGCATTTCCCACTGACGTCTTTAATCCATCTGGAGTTTATTTTTGTGTTTGCGATGAGGTAATTTTATCTCCTCAGTCATTTGTTCCTTACTTCTAGTGGCACGGTCTGGGACAGTGCTTTTTAAGCCTGGTCCCATGGGCTCTGGTCTCAGTTGCAGGGGGGACCGGGAACCCTGAAAATCCTGAGAATTGTAAGCAGAACTGTGTGTGTCTGCACACTTTTCTGCAGAGGGCTCATCCACCTCATCTGATGCTCCAAGCTGTCGGTGACGCTGATAAACTGAGTAGCTACTGCCCAGTGCCCAGAGCCACTGGACCACTGAGAGACCAGGAGACAAGGCTGTGAATCTTTCTTCCCCCAGGCCCCTTCTTTTGACCTTGTCCTTCCTGGATTCAGTCACCTTTGAAATTCACCTGGGACCATATGGGGCTTCCCTACTGGCTCAGATGGTAAAGAATCTGCCTGCAGTGCGAAGACCCAGGTTTGATCCCTGGGTCGGGAAGATCCCCTGCAGAAGGGAATGGCAACCCCACTCCAGTATTCTTGCCTGAAGAATCCCATGGACAGAGGAGATAGACAGGACACCTCCTCTCAGCAGAGGCCAGGGACAGCGTGGGGCACAAAGCGATGGTCCAGGAGGGGCCAGCAAGGCGAGCTGTTCTCTTTTACAGGAATCAGGCTCCCAGGGCCCCCGCGCTGGTGGGGGAGGGGATGCCACGGGCCCAGGGATGGGAACTGGAATGCCTAAGGAGCCTGGACCAGCGGGGAGAAGCCTGCATGCTCTGCCTGGGAGGCCGCTGGAGCGCAGGACAGGGTGGAAGCGTCCGCGGCCCCCACCTCCGTTCTGGACGCTGTGGGCGGGGCTCCCTTTGCAGAGCTGGGACCTGCTCCCTCCCCGCCGGGCAAACTATCTACATATGTTATTTGGGATTCTTTGGAATAGGAGCTTTGTCTGTTCTCCTTTGCTTATTTGTTTGCGCCATAATTTATTCATATCTATATAGGCTCATGGATATTACTTTTGTACCTATAACCCATGGCCACTGTATTTCTGTTGTTGGAGGTGTCTAGCCGCAACCACCGGGAGCTCTTCCTGTTGACCCTGACATGCCCCCTGGTGATGCTCTCATGTGTGTGTGCTCTGCTCCATCCTAGGCTCCGCTGTTCCTCCAAGGAGTCCCAGCTGGAGAACGGGGTTAGAAGCCAACATCTTTGTGCTGGGGGAGCCTGCTGCTGCCGGGCGTCACTGCTCCAGGCTCTCAGCTGACAGAACAAGGACACGTGTATGTGTCACCAACCCGGTGCACACGCATGTGTAGGCATTTCTATGTGTGCCCACCTGTATCTCTATTAAACTAGATGGGCACTCATCCTGGCATCTCCAGTGCTAATCCATCCCCACAGGGCAGACCCTCTCTAGCTGTGTCCCAAACAGGAGAGCCTGGCAGGAGGGGAGCAGCGTACGGTTGTCAGTATTCCAAGGCCTCCTCTCCTTCCGTGGACTCACTCTGTATAATCCCACCCACCTGTGGGTAGGGATTTTATATGAAGAAATAAACTTGCCCCTGATTAGGTTGTGTCGTGTGGCAAATGGTGGGGGGATCAATGCTCTGATTAGGCTGTTATGAGACCCCAGTGCAGCCCAAGATTGAACCTCTCCTGCCTGCCTGGAGGAAAGCAGATGGCCTGGTGTGACCTGCAGGAAACCCCAGTCCTACCACCGCAGGGAATTGAATTCTTCCAACAACATGAAAGAGCTTGTCCTCACCGGCCCTGCAGCCACCAAGAGCAGAGACAAGGTGTGTCCTTGGGGCAGCTGTGACCCCACGACAGTGCAATCCAAGCCCCTCCCCCCTCCACCACCCCCAAGGAGGGGCTGCCTGCTGGCCTCAGTCTCTGAGCCCCGGAGAGCAGGCACTGGGGCCACGGTGAGCAGGCCGGAGGCTGGGAATGCGGGTGGATGACCCAGCCCAAGGATGCATAAGTGAGCAGGCTCCCTGCGCGGGCCTGGGCTTCACCCACCTGGGCCCCCAGGAGGGGCCCTCTCCCCTGACACGTCTCTGAGCTGCCCAGCGAGGTGGAAGAGGGCAGGGCCAACAGGTTCATTCCTGGCTCGCACACCCTGTTGGGCACCAGCCATCCTGTGGGGCAGAGATGTCCTCATTGTTGCAGGCCGTAGGCACCTGCCCGCCTGGCAGGATTCTGTGTGCACTCCCGTCTGGGTGTTTCGACCAGAAGCTTGAAACAACAGATCGAGTGCCCCACACTCCCGGAAACTGGCAGTTTTAAAGTAGGCATCACCAAGGGTGGGTCCCTCCAAGACTCTCAGGGAGGGTTCAGCTCCTTGGCTTGTCGATGGCCGTCTACACACTCACACAGCCGGCTCCCCGTGTTTCTGTCTACCTGTAAGCTTCCCCCTACATAAGGACAGCCATCACTGGATGAGGGCTGTGAGAAGCACAGTGCAGGAGGGACTGCTGTAAGAGTGAATCTTGTTTACAGCTTGGAACTGCAAGGGTGCCACTGCCCCAGCGCCCACAGGTGGCCTCCTGCAGGGAAAGCTGTGGGCCCAGGTCTCTCCAGCATTGCGGCTGAGAGTGCTCACCCACCTGAGAAGGAATCCCAGCCCTGCAGTCCCCTCTCCAGTCCCCTCTTCCCTCTTCAGAA